GGCCTGTAATGCAGTCCTAACCAACCGCTCAACCTACGGTTCTAGCGCGTCCATTGTTGGCTTGCATAAAGGATAATATTACGTGGCAGATATTAATTATTGTGTACACAGCCCTGTCATGGGAGGAGTGTTCGTTATCTCTTCCCTCTCAGTCAGTCTGACAGGGAACTCTGTCAGGATCAAGTCGCAATACTGCAAAAGTGCCATATCTCGGATGCCTTAAGGGTCACTGTGCCACAAGATGCCATTTAGGAAGCTTTTTTTCTCCCAAACTTACCTCCACAGTCGGGCAGCTTTTGATCTTTGCGCATTCTTGTTCCGGGTACCTCGGTGCCGGAGCTTTCATTCACGCACCAGCATTCTTCAGCTTTAAAGTCGCATTGCAAAGGCTGAAATCTGCCATTATTTTGACAGGCTGGTTCGAAACCACCTTCCTTGGCCGCTTTCGCTCTCATCGTATGGCACTCTGAAATTAACAGCTGCTGAAATCCCATATGCACACAAAAGTTTAAGAAGGTACGAACTCACGCCCACAGCTCACAACTTGAGGATCTCCTTTGACTCGAGTATTTTCGATTTCTTCTCCCGTTTTGACGTCGACGCACCAACATTCAGCTTTCGCTTGGTGGCACTGAATGAGCGAATATTCACCTGAAACACCAACAAAGATACTAATTTGCAGCTAGTTCTTTTCCCTCGTTTCAGATTGTACCGTTATCCTCACAGAGAGGGAGGTAATCACCAATTCCAGCAGTCCCAATCAATGCTTGTTGCTTATCCCAGCATGATTCGAAACTGGGACTGACTGCTACTAAAATAAAATTCGAATGTTATATCGATAAAGGACTCAGACATCCCTCACCAATGGCGTTCGACTTGCTGTCAGGCTTGAGGAACGTATGCGATACCGGAATGAACGACGAACCGGCGTCACCGCACAGGTCTTTTGTCGTGTCCATGCACTGGAACTTGAACATCGTCAGCGCCTGTTGAGCCTCCTCATCACACGAGGGCAACGCAAAACTCTTCAGACATGTCTTCAGTTTCGGGATTCGCTGGCAGGCCACTTTCTGTGGGGTCAGGCTATCGTAAGTAACTTTGAAAAAGTCTAGAAACGTCTGTAGGCATTCGCTGCTCTCGGTCTGATTCGTGATCACTTTGGCGATGCAGGAGCTGTGCTTCTTCATCAACGTCACCACTTCTCGACCGCATGCACCGCCGACTACCCCGCTCTGAAACCACAATAAAATCAACCTCCTTCAAATCATTTGCTCTTGGCTTCAAGCGAAGCTGAACCTCGATATCTCTTGAAGACATCCAGTAACTGCTGCTTTACAATCATTTATTTCACTGTTCATAATCAGATATATTTCAGCATTCCTCTTAAATTTAAACTCTGTGAGTACAGTGAAGTGTGGTTCAATTTGTCAACGTTTTAAGTTCTTATTTGTGCGTGCATGTTCAACGCAGTGAATGCTTCGATGAACGAACTAATCGTTTCCTTTAACATAGGTGGCACAAAGGACTGATCAACTTGCTGGTCACGTATTACTGGAGACTCTGACAATGTGGTGAGGTCGGCAAAGGGGGAACTCTATGGCTCACAGGATAACTGAGGAGGGTCCTCAAATATCCTGTTTATCGTTTGCACAGTTCATTTTCTGCACATCGGGATATTACCCATCTTATGTCACCACCACATGAGTCAAATCTGACAATGTTCCTCCATTGGTTTCAGCGCATTTCGGACATCAATTACCGCTCTTCTTCGTCTCAATGTAAGAAGTGCAGGGGGGCTGGATGAACAGCAGTGATCAAGAAAATTTGTTAACCGGATTTTCCACCGTGCGAGGACTTTAAGCAGAGCCCGTGAGAAACTAGCTAAGTGTCTGAAAAAGACTCCGCAGTAAAATACCCGTGTTTGTTTGTGGATGTGACCGTTGCCTGACAACAGCAGAAAAATGCAATGATTGGCAAAGTTGGCGACTGGTTAAAATTTGCGCAGACTGAGGGAAGAGGTTGTTCGTTGACTTAGAAGTGATGAACAGCCTTACCAGATCCTTAAGTCTACTACGTTTCTTTTGCACCGCATTAGTCTATTTCATCATTCTTAGGAAATGACAACCGGCTCCCATCCAGAAACTTTGAAACTACTTGGCCGACCCTATAAATGCGGCGCTGATGAGTTTCGGTGCCTCCTAACTAGATATTTATTTTTTAGAGAACAACGGGTGCTCTTGTGAGCTTTATTATGACCGACCCAATAAGCCCCTGTACCAGTATTTCCAACAGTGCTTTTCGAAGCGACCAAACACATTAACTTATTAGTGTATACGGTAGACAAGGCTTACCGTAGGTCAGTCGTTCAGTTTGCTATCCAACGTCTGATCCATTACATGAAATAATAATGGTTGTTTTGAACCACATTCCAGTCAGCCTAGCATGAATCCACTTTCTACTGCTTATATCGCTGTTTTGCATTGTTGATTGCTCTATCACGGTTGTGGCTACTTATAGTCTGCTTTTGGTGTACTTAAATAAATTTTACTGACCTGCTATAATAAAGATAGTAGATTACTGCAAATTCTTAATAGTGTTCCTATTATTGCTAAGCGAATAAGTTATTAATTTGCTGAGCAAACATTCACTAGTGTACTACACGTTGCTCTACAGTAGCTGTTGGTATGCTCTCTTATGTCATGAATTAATTCCATATAAGCAATAACAATGGAGTACAATATGAAATAGCGCTGTACCATTAACATATTATATCACGGTATATGCTACCTTAGATATTAGTATACTGCGCTATATTACATACCATACTAATACATTATTACACAGTTTGCTGTACAATGCTTATGGCAGCTTGTTGAACTCATTTATTGTGTTGATTACATTAATAATGACTTGAGTCAATATAAACAAAAAATTATACCAAGGCCTTGTGTCCAAAAATAGGACAGGACTCTGGGATCGATTGGCCATCGGCAGCCAGACATGCCTCGTAGTTGTAGTAGTACTGACACACGTCGAAAATGTCCATCCAACGCGATTTGATCACCTCAACGTCCCTCGCATATGCAGAGAGGAAAGCTGTTCCAAGAAGAAACTGCCTGAGACACGATCTCCACCGATTTGTGAATACTTCACAACTAAGGGTGCGGGGTTCGGCTAGAGCGGACTCAGCTATAGGTGATTTCAACGGCATCGGTTGCTTTCTTTTAGTACCGGTGGTTCTTGAGGTCGATAATGCTGACCGGGTACCTGCTCCCGTGGCTGTGATACTACTTTCTTTCATATGTTTTACTTTGTGCTCAGGATGCGGAGGAGGTATTTCGACAAACATTTCGGCCGGAACTTCAGAGAGCTGAGCTTCGGGTCGCGGACGCACTGCGAAGGGGTTTGGAGTGCTGACTTCAGATTTGAGTTCCTTTTGAACGGTGGTCATCTTTCTTGGTGACTTTTCTACAATAGTAGGGCGAGTTGGAACTTCAGTAGTACTCTTTTGTACTTCAAGATGTTTGAAAGGTTTGGCAGACTTTGCAGTTGAACTTGGCACTCTGACTGATTCACTCGTATGGATTCTTCTGGCTTCAGAAGTCACTGTGTAAAGAACAGCCTTTGATGTCGACGTGGCATGAGAAGACGTTGTTGGAATTCCAGAAATTGTTGATTTCTCAGTTCCTTTTTCCCTCTTCGCCGGTGCTGTAGATTGAACCTTGGAGGCTGAGACTGAGGTCGACTGCCCGGGCGCAGTCAATCTTATGGCAGTGGCTTTTGTTGCTGACGATAACGTACTATGTACCAAAACCTTATTCTTTGCTACGGTTTCCTTTTCTAAT